GGGGGGGGGGGGGGGGGGAGGGGAGGGAAAAAAAGAAAGGGTCTGCATCAGAATCAACACAGATATGTGGGAAGGGAGAGTGAAAGCATGCATGCGTACAAACATAAGAGAAGCGCATGAAAGGCCAAGAGACTAGTGAAGAGGGACCAGCTCCTCTACCTTCTGGTAGAGTGGTCCACACAGGAGCCAACCAGCAAGGGTTGCCATCTCTGCATGGAAGGGAAGGGCAAGAAGCAGGAGAAGGACCATTCAGGTCTTGCCAAGCATCAGCCCAGCTCCGTTGCCAACCTGCTGCAATCTAGACTGAAATTTATCATGTTGGCTTAAGGAACAGCTGAAGGCAGCCCAGGAGACAGGCAGCTTAGCCTGCAGGGTGGCATTGCCCTAAGAATGAGGCAGGGTACCACCCCTACTGACAAGTGGGAGGAGGGGAGACCTTTCACTGTGGGAAGTCATCTCTGAATGTGGTTCTTGCTATGCAGACTTCCTGCTACTTGGCTTACCTGCCCAGGAGCTGGCTATTGTCTAGCTGTAATGGTACGTGGGAATGACCTTGGGAGACTGGAGGGAGAGCCATAGGCCAGACAGCCAGCATGTAAAAGATATCTCAGTCCACAGAAGGAGAGAAGGAGGCATGGGAAGTGTTTCAGAAGAGACCCTCTCTAGGTCTTTTCCAGAGAGTAAAAGGAAAGGAGGGAGAAATACTTTCAGTCTTGCAAGATTCTCTTAATGTAACCTTACCATAAAGATAGAGCTAGTACTCCTGGTTGTGCTTCTTGTCTCAACTACCTTGTTGTTTAGATAACAGTTATCTAAACTAGAAGCAAAAATCAAGATGGCACTCCCTCTCCAGTCTACAGTAGGCTTACACTAACTGGACTGGCACTTGATTGATGGAATTCTTATTAGTGATAGGATATCTTCCTTTAGTTTACCTGTGTTTTCTGCTTTTTCTTCTTCCTCCTCCTGTTCTGCTTCTTATTCTCCATATATTCACTGGGAATCAAACTTTATTCAAGGAAAGGAAACTGCTGAATATACATAGGGGACAGATGTATTCTTGAAAATAAAAATTATGCTTGAGGCTTTGCTTTGCAGTATGCTAGCTTATCCCTCCCCCCAGCCCCAATGAAAGGAATATAAAAATGGAATATAAACTGAAGCTAGGTGTGGACCTGGCCTGGTTGGTGTCACGAAAAGTGTTTGCTTACATGCTGGGAAGTTAACTTCTACAATATAGTCATGAGTTGACAGATTTCACAAAGTTTTCTTGATTTCTAAATTCTTTCGACTCTTCCCCGCATTAAAATCTTTCTTTCTATACAAAACAGTTTAAGGTGTTGTTTTTTGGTTTAATCTTCATAGTTGTTGACATTCTTGGAAATATCTAACCTTACTTCATATCTCTTTCTCTGTGGTCATAGTGTCCTAAATTAATTTATCTATTTCCATGTGCCCTTGGATGTGGTTGTACAAAATAGAAGGAAATAAATCTAATATTCTTAGGGCAACTCAGCTCAAACACTTCTTTGAATGTTATATAGTAGAACTGGGGAGGTAATTAAAACTTGGCGGTTCATCTGAAAATGTCTCTATCTACTTAGAAAAAACAAAGTATGGTAAATTGATGGAAAGCATTCTAGCAGGGTAAGATGTAATGAGCAATCTGTCTGCCTTCTTAAAATATTAAATATTAATATTTGTAAAATATTAAACTAGCAATTGCTGTACGTTTTGTGGTTGTCTGTATTTCTCCCCCTCTTTCTTAGTGCTACTATTTCTAGCAGAATGAGATGTGCTAAGTCATTTGGTGATCTAATCAATAGTCTGCAGAAACACAAGAGTTCAAAAGCACAAATACAGGATAGAAGATCCACGACACAACAGGCAGGTGCGGTATGTCTGATGCACGGCCACCCAGCAATTACTTAAATAATTTTAACAAAGAATTAAGAGAGTCTACCAGTTGCGGAGTTGATCAATTCCAACATGATCAATCAAAAGTCATTGCGCAACTAGGGTTGGCCACATCAGTAAGAAAATGCAGGAATTTTCCAAAAGGGAGGCAACTTGTTTTGTTGCCATTGTTGCTAAGGAAAAGTTCCCAGGCCACATGTAGCCCCTGAACCCATTTTTCTGGTTCCCAGAATGCCAGCTGTACTGCCAGATTTTGGTTTCCTGCTATTCTAAGCTAGGAAAGGCATGAAAACTCTAAGTATAAGCCTTGAACTTGTTTAACTGCAGCTCAATCCACAGGAGGGGTCACAAAAGTCAAGATGGCAGTTGTGGCAGCAGGATCAAAGCCTCCCCCTTTGGACTCAGGTGCGGCATTGACACGTGTGCAAAAAGGGTGGGGCTGTCCACTACCAGAATACCGTGTTGATATTTTGGACCCCTAATCCTGCAGACACCCTGCTTAGCAGAGTTTCAACAGCAAAACAAAGCAAAAACTATAAAACCACCTCTTCACTGGAAAAACACAGTAAATCACAGGATGTCTCTGCCAGGTTTATGTAAAATGGGTCAGGGTTCAACAGTGGGATCACAAATGCCATCATGTCAATTTTTACTCCCCATCGTAGCCATTACAACTTCTCTGTCTTTCAAGAAAATGCTCTGATTTTCCCATCTAAATGTATACATCAGTATTAATACAAATCTAGAGTTTTCCTACAAACAGGGTTGAGTGGTTTCCCCATTTCATTCTTAACTCTCAGTTTGTTGAGTAACAGGGATGTCCACAGGGTGTGGTCACAAAAGCAACGTGCATAAAAACAGGCTGAGATTTTATTGCACCTCTGTGGCTCCCATCTTGACGTTTTTCATCAGGCATCACTGCTGTTATTGTTACTGTTTATTAATTTTCTGTTGTTATCCAAATCCACCGTTGATCTTGCTGTTCATCACTGAAGACAAATTCCTTGTATATATTTTATACTTGGTCATTAAAGTATTTGTATTTGTATTTTGTATTTGTATAAGATAAATAGAGTGATGAGAACTAATCTCATATTTTCCAACTAATCTAGTATATTCCATATTTTCCAACTGGAGAAATTTAGGAAATGGAACCAAGCCATTGGTTCTTCTTCTTGTCTAGTGATGACCTCAGTCAGACCTTCTATCCTTACTCTCAGCCACTGCTTGTCTCATCACTTGCTCAGTCGGCAAAGGGCCTTCTGAAGCAGCAAGTGTTCCATTCTTAAGTTGCTGCACTTCTCCAGCGTTGGGATCAGAAGCAAAACTCTCCTGTTTCAAATTCACTACCTTATCCCCTGTATGCTGGTCCAAGTTCTCCTCTGATCTCTTGATTGCATCACTCTTTTTAATTTCAAAAAGTGGCATTTACCAAATGAAAGATGATTGCACACAAAACAACAGCTCTAAAGCAGAAGGTCAGGGCAAATATTTAGGCTTCCGTTTCCTTATTTTTCTCCATTATTTAATATTTAAAGACACGAGAGACTGTTTTGTCTGACTGAGGAAATCAGTGCCTTGACCACAAGGTCATCGCTTTTCTGCATGGTTTGTACAAGTTCAGTGAGTCAGTGCATTCAACAGGATTCTTCTGGCAGGCTGTGATCACTTGCTCACTCGCTAGATCCATTTTCAGTCCATTCCTGAGACTCTAAGAAAATGGCTTTGAATATCAGTGGCCTAGTAGCCCTGCTTTTATTTTATGCCCTGACTTTAGCTACTGGAATATGGGCTTCCCGGAAAACTAAACAGAAGGAGCACCAGAAGCCCAGTGAAATAGCCATAGTGGGAGGCAGGAACATGACCTTTTGCACTGGATTGTTCACAGCAACTGGTAAGTACAAAGGTTTCAGAATGATAAGCTAGCATCCATCACTCTTAAAGTGAATGCAGGACTGGTGTGCCAACAAAAAACGAGCCAAAACAAGGTTAGTCAAAATCCAGGGATTGGGACCAGCATACTTTTAGTCATGAATGAGCGAATCCTCCCCAGCTAACTCAAAGACCAACCTAAGGAGGCTTCAGAAGGCTTAATCATCATCTGGACAAAGAAAAACGGGAAATTGAAGGGTGTACAATGGCTTTCTTGATCTCTTTAGGAAGGTGTGATTGGCTGGCTGGCAGGCAGGAACAATGCACAAGAGTGTTCTTGGGAAGGTGGCAGGAGACTCCATTACGATATTTAGCGGTAAATCACACTTCTTATTTGCAATGTTTGATCAGTCATCAAACATTGCAAACTTGGTTTGCTTTAGTAAAAGTAAGTAGACCAAAGTAAGAGGAACATATTCCTCTTGTCGGCAGTTTTTTAGAAGAAATAAGGCAAGTGGAGATAGGTCTTGGCTAGAAAGGATGGAGCAGAGAAAGCCAAGAGTTATATAAAAGTTAATGAATAAATAGGGAAGGATGGAAAAGACACCAACAGCATTATGGTAGGCATCATTCTCTGGATGTAATTGTTCCTGCAATTAATATCCCATAAGATTTGATACATTTATATAATAAACCTTATCCATGTCCAAGACTCAGTTGAAAGAGTTGGCATTGCACTTTAAAGTCCTATGGGGTGTCTGATCTCTTTTCCATGGGCTACTGGTGGTCCTCATACCCAGCTTTGCAACTCTTAGACTCAATAACAATGGTGGTGCTTCTTAAATTTGGCAGCAAGCCATCACATTTGACTATTTAAATGAGAATACTAAAATGGAAGCTATAAAATATAAGACTGGTGTTACAACCCTATTTTTCGTTTTTTAAAAAAGCCTATGTCCTCCCCCAAATCCTTGAAAATCTAGCTTACCTTTGTGATATCTTGATGTCATCAGCCCATCCTTATGGCTTCTGGCTGCCAAAAACAAGTTTATGGAAGTATTTGCTCCATCCTTTTGTGCTTTAGGATCATGTTCCAAAGCCCAATCTACAATCAGTAAAATCAGCAGGTGTTAAAGAAAAAATCTTTCATTCAGTGACTCCTACCCTATAAAATCATACAACATACCTGCCAAACCTAGAGGCCATGTGTGTTTATTTGAAAAGGCTTTTACAGCTTCCTTATGTTAAGAGAAAAGATTTTATAGCGTCTGGTGCTGATGTATACTTGAAATTGTAGTGAGTTTCAGCTGGATTGTTTTTAAAATACGCAATAAACCACTTTGGGGAGGCCATAGATTTGAAAGGCAGCTAAGAATATTCAATAAAGAATTGATGATTTAATAAATTGAGGATTTACTGCCTCATTTAAAACTTAATTTAAAGTTTAGGATACAGTATTTAAAACTGTATCCTAAGAATCTATGAAGCACATTTCTCTCTCTCTTGCTGTATGAAACATTACAAAACAGGTGTTATCATATGCAGTGTTGTCCAGATCTTAACACATCATTACAGATTAATTACTAATTACTTCATATTTATTTTCTAACTAATCCAGTTCCTCTGGGTGATGACCAAATGAGTAGCATTTTCCTAGTGTCCAATCAACTGTCTAAAAAGAACTGAATGGAAAATTACCAGTGACAGGAACAACAACAAAATGAATAGAGAGAACATATTCAAACATAGTCTGCTAAAGTAAGATTCTGATTTCAGAAAGATGAATTGTTGTGGATGACAAAAATTGCATCAGTTGAATGTAGGGCCATCCAATATATGCCAAAGAATTCTCGGCAGCAGTGAAAATTTCCATGATTCTTGGCGAGAAGTCAAATCCATTAAAACAATGTTTACTTGCCTTGTAATTATCCATGTATCCTTTATTAACCTCATTTCCCCTTTTTGGGGTTTCTTTCAGCAACATGGGTTGGAGGAGCTTATATCAATGGCACAGCTGAAATTGTCTACCTTCCCTTGAGAGGACTGGCATGGGTTCAAGCTCCAGCAGGCTTTGCTTTGTCTCTCCTTGTTGGTAAAGATTTTTAAAAAAATTGTTAACTAACTGTGGGGGGACAGATGGATGGACCCCAGTTTAAAAATACTTAAATCTCTCTCCAAGAGCTTTGTGTTTAATTTTATCTCAAGTTATCTGCCCTAGTTTGTGCTGTTATCAATGATCAGAAGCACAATTCCATTTAGTTGGAAAGTACATGAATGACTGCTCCCTTCAGTGGCTTGCACCCTTCACTCAGAATGATGCGATGTCTCCTTTGTTAATACGTATGGCTCATCCTGGGACCTTCCTCTTGTTCATCAGCCTCTGTGGTGCCCATGTCAATCATTCCCCTTCCCAGAACGGTTTTATAACCTGTATTGCTGAGATAATCTGATACTTTTTCCTCTGAGATTCCTTCCTGTGGTCTCATCTTAGAGTGCTGAAAAAGGCATTATTCATTATCTCCATGTCAGAATCAAGACAAACAGTTTCCTTTCCTCTCCAGGATCTCACTACACTCTCTCCTGTCAAGCACTGTGTGCTTATTAGATGTGTAGAAATGCAACTCACTTAATATCTCAGGTTGTGCACAAAGTCTTCTGTTGTAGGTTATTTAGGATTGTTAATGTCGTTCTATGTCTTAGAGCTTTTCCTATACTGTTTCTTTGATATACTCTTATTTTTGTTTTTACCCTTCTTGGTCTTGATTCTGTTCTGTTATTATTTGCATTTCCCATCACTGGGCACACTCCCTTTTTAGATAAGATGTTGACAAAATGTATGTTCACTTCTTCCTATCAGCTCCTAAAAGGAAAAGGCAGGCAGTGGTAGACTGGTCCACAGAGGACCCAGCCAGCTGCCACAGAGGCTTTCCCTAAGTCAAGGATCACTGTGTCTTCTCTAGTACCTGCTGCAAGCTATGGGGCTTTACAGAGCTCATAGAATCACTGAGTTGGAAGAGACATTGGAGGTCTTCTGTTCCAATCCTCAACCTAGGACAGGGATACTCCAACTCTCCTAAACAAATAACTGTCCAATCTTTGTTTGAGAAACTCCAGTGATAGAGCACCCATGACTTCAGGATGCAGATTCTTCCACTGCTTCATATTTCTCCTGACTAGGAAATTCCTCCATATTTCAAGTTTGAATCTGTTTCTGTAAGGGTTCCACATGTTGGTTCTTGTCCTACTGTAGAGCACTATGGAGAATACATCTACACCCTCTTCCCTGTGACTTCCCTTCAAGTATTGGAAGACTACTATCATGTCTTCCTTTAGCCTTCTCTTCTTTAGGCTAAATTGGTCCAGTTCTTTGTATTATTCTTCATAAGAATTATTTATTTACATTTATTATAGCCATCCACTCCAGCAGAGTGATAGATTTAGTCTCCAGTAGATTTAGCCTCCAAGACCCTCACCATCTTTGTTCATCATTGGGCATTTATAAAGGCAGCAGAGACAAATATTTACGATGCCCAAAGATTAGCATAAATTCAAAATCAACAGAAGCAATAGTAAACTGTTCTAGAATATATTTCGGTGAGTTGGTGGGAAATAGAGGTGGTGAGAACTGTTTATGTGCAATATCTTTTGGGATTACCATTTAGGGTTACATAAATTGGCTCATGGTTGTATATTGTGAATCCAGATGCTACTGAGGAATAGGTGTTATTGTGGTTAGAAAAGAAACAGCCAGTTAAAGCTTTGATTGGGGCATGAGAAGTTCTGCTGTTGAAATTTAACGGAGTAGTTTGCTACCAAAATTGGTGTTGCACCACCTGGAAATGGATTAGGAAAATTAAACTGAAAAACGAAAAAGGATCATACATGTTTGCAACGTATCAATGAACTTACCTAAAATTTTAGAAATAGTTTGGAATTTGGAACCTACAGTATTTATTATTCTATTGTTTCAGATGTCTCATTGATAATCAAATCGGTTGAGTGGGTATATATTTATTAAGTATTAGTTTATATCCCACCGTTTCATTTTGTTTTGATGCCACCTTCCTCCCAATTTAGGTCCTACTTATTTTTCTGGCCCCATACATTTTCGAATGTAACTCTCAGCATGCCACATAACACTGATTTTCAGGGCTAAGTGCAAAAGATATGGCCCGTCCCAGGGCTAGCATGTCACTTATGATCAATAGACCAAGTGGCCCCTTTCAACTCAATCTTCACTGCTCCTTGGGTGTGGGTGATTGTGAGAAGGCTGAGAAAGAAGTGTGAGGAATTCTAGAACTAAACAATCCACAAATGAGAGAGGAGTTTGTTAGCAGTTTATTTCATAAATGACATTTTGGTTTGGCTTGCAAAAAGCTCAGGAAGGAGAGATTCAAAAACATTCAAATAGTCTGCCTTAATGAACTTACTGATAAAAGAAGGCTGAAGTTTCCTTTCTCAGTTTCAAGATTCTCTACCTTACCCTAATCCTTACCTAAAAGCATCTTATAGAAGCCTGTATAATTCTTGCCATTTCATTATGAGAGACTTGACACTGGGTGGCCTTGAAGAGTCATTGTCTCTCAGACTAACCTTATTTATGGGGGAAGGAACATTTTTATTTTTTATTTATTGAATGTATATGGCCGCTCATCTCACATACATAACCCTGGCTAGGTGGCTAACAACAATCCACAATAATAAAACCTCCAATGACAATGTAGAAAACAAAGACAAAATAACTATAATACAATAGCTGAGGCACCATAACTGACTCACAACACAACTACACCTCTGTTGGACTCAATTAACATCCTGGTCTGGTGCTTGGGGAAGAGCCAGGTCTTCACAGCCTTCTGGGAGATGAGGAGCGTTGAGGTCTTCTGGATCTCAACAGTGAGGTTGTTGCAAAGGGCTGGAACCAAGAAGGCATGTCTCCTAGGTCCCATCCACCAAATAACATTATTTAACAGAGGGGATTTTGGGTATACCCATCCTGTCAAATCTGGTGAGATGAACAGAAACACTTGGGGAGAGGTGATCCAGCAGCAATCCTGGTCCTGTCCCATGTAGGGTAGTAACCAGCATTTTGAACTGCAAGGCCTTTCCCTTTGCGAAGATAACTGATTGTAATACAACTTTTTTCTTTTTAAACAGGGGGGTTGTTCTTTGTCAACCCCATGAGAATGAGAAATTATGTGACTCTGATGGATCCAATCCAAGAGATCTATGGGAATGTGATGGGCTGCCTTCTTTTTATCCCCCCCTTGATCGCTGACATATTCTGGTTTGCTGCTATTCTTGCCTCCTTAGGTAATACAATGTCTTTCACTTGTCTTGGCTGAAACTAAATTTAGCCACCTTGAAGCCAAGAGAAGATTGGCTTTCCATCCCATAAATAATTTATTGATTTCTGAAGGTATTTTCAGAATAACTACTCTAACTGTGATCCGGGGATATTTGTAGCTCCACTTGGTTCATGTTTCTGAAGTCTATTACATAAACAGGGAAACTGAGATTATAAATGCAGTGATTTTCTCTAAATAATTTAGAAACACAACAGAAATCTATAATTCAAAACTAGAGGTGAGGTGAAAACACTCTTGCATGTACATAAACTGGAGTGTCAGAAGTTTTAAAGGTCCTTTATTTCCAGTAGTGGTATTTTTAGAGGAATATTCAGTCATGCCGTAATTCTTCTCTGCAGTCTTAAGTGCCTCAGTTTAAGAATAGTTCTGAACAGCAGACGTGCTGTTTGTATCAAGTAAGGCAGAGAATATACATTCAAATATTTCACCTAAGATCATTCAGTATGGTAGCCATTTTATGAATGGAGATCATAGAATATGGTGGTCATTTTAACATCTGAAAATAGAATTGATAGTGATTCCTTGACTGCAAGGACTCATAAGTCATAGATCAGCCTGGTCCTAATGGGTCAGCTTCACCTCCCAGAATTTCAGTGGAATGGCCAACAAGTGGGAATTCGGGAGTTGTCAGAAGAATGTTTATAACAACAACTATGATTTTGTTACGAATGGAATGGCTATTTCATATATCATATAAATTAATATATTTGGGTAAAAGAAATTGCATAGCACAAAATGTACTGTTCCATTTCAGGCTGTCTCTTTTCTTAGGAGCAACCATGAAGGTCATTTTGGATATCCAGGGTTATTTTTCCATCATTCTTTCTGCATGTACAGTAATATTGTATACTTTGCTGGGAGGTCTGTATTCAGTGGCATATACAGACGTGATACAACTGATCTTTATAATAATCAGCCTGGTAAGTTCCTGTCCTGTAATGTTACTACTCACCTGAACTATTGGTAGTGATTGAAAATCCAGAATGAAACACCAGCATGGTTTCATTGTCTATGACAGTGTTTCTCAACCTTGGCAACTTTAAGATATGTGGACTTCAACTCCCAGAATTCCCCAGCCAGCAAGCTGGTTGGGGAATTCTGGGACTTGAAGTCCATACTGTATATCTTAAAGTTGCCAAGGTTGAGAAACAGTGATCTATAAGATGCCAACATATAAAGAATTTTAGGACATCCTATTGCATGAATTGGGAGATAATCTGGACATTCAATAGCCTGAGCCTCACGAAGGAGAATAGAGCACCCTACGAGTGGAAAAGAGGAGCTACATATATGAATGAAACAAGTGGAGCCAACATAGCCATGATAAACTTAAAGCAGAGGTGGGATCTGGTTTAAGAAGGAGGGCCAAGCACAAAGAAGTAGGTGGGGTCATAACAAAGAAATGGGTGGGGCTAAGACACGAAAGCAGTGAGTGATGCTATTTCAATTCATTTATATTTTGTTTAATTAATTCAGTGTCATGACTGTGGAGCACATGGAATATTTTGAATGCCAGAAACCATCCAGAAAACATTATTTCACTTCTAATGTTTCTGTTTTTGCTGCCAGTGGATTTGTATCCCTTTTGCCATCATGAACCCTGCCACAGAAAATATCTTTTATACGGCTACCCACAATATATTCCAAGCATCTTGGATTGGAAAAGTAGAAATGGATTATTATGGAAGATGGTTGGATGACTTCTTATATTTGGTAAGATCTGTTCCTGAAGTGGATGGGAAATTGGGGGCATGCTACACTTATTCTGTCCAACTAAATCATAAAAATTGTTGTTCTTCTAAATTAAGGACAAGCCATGTTCTTCTCACCACAAAGAAAACTGGGAGGTCCCAAAATGGAGATGGAGATTCACATGCAGCCCATTCTCTTCTAGATGGACTGGAAAACTGCATTTCCACAGCACATTGAGAAAACTGCAGTTCTAAATTAAAGATGAAAGGCAGTTAATAATGTCAGGTCTGGCTTAATACGTATCAGACTGGGATGATAACCTAAGATGGCGGAAGTTGGAGAGCTGCTTGAGGTTGTTTTAAGAAAGGCAAATGGAGGCCAGAATGCTAGGATGCTCCAGAAAGGAAGCTGTGGACATGCTACAAGAGTTGCCCATCATGCCTTGTGTTAAATGAATTTCCCAGAGTCATCCTGAGTGCTAGGTTAAAGGCATCTTTGGTTTGCTCCATGTGGGCCATTAGCATCCTATTAAGATTCAACTTCTTGGCCTTTGGGCTAAGATCAAGCATAGTATCTGTTTGTATTTCAGTTCAGTTCAAGATTCTACTTTTCTTCCAGGTTCTTGGGGCCATCCCATGGCAAACCTATTTCCAGCGAGTTCTCTCAGCTTCTTCCACCAAAGAAGCCAGACTAATTTCCTATTTTTCTGGACTGGGCTGCTTCATCATGGCTATCCCTTCTGTACTGATTGGGGCGATTGCTGCCTCCACAGGTAAATGTGGCTGGACAAGAACTGGAAAGGCAGAGCCACAGTTTGGGTGGTTCAGCCCTAGTAGTGCTGTTGTCCTACTTTGGGGGTGTCATTCCTCTATGTCAGTGTTTTTCAACCTCAGCAACTTTAAGATGTGTGGGCTTCAACTCCCAGAATTCCCCAGAATTCTCCCAAAATTCTGGGAGTTGAAGTCTACACTTCTTAAAGTTGTTGAGGTTGAGGAGCACTGCTCTGTATAAATGCTGGATGCAGGAATGATTTTATCTTCCTTGTATCCTAGTTAGGTCAAGGCCCCCTAGTGTAAAAAGAACTATGGATACAAAGCAGTGTCACAGTATAAAGGGTTATAGAGCTGACCTTGGGGAAGGTATGAAAGAGCCATTAAGAGGGAGAGGAAGGACCAAGCTGTTAAGGAGGGACTTGGAGAAAAGATTACACAGTCCAGAGATTGAAGGAAGTGTGAGAAAGATACTCAAAATAACCCCACTTTGGTTTTGTTTGGTACAAGATGGAACAGAAAGAAACTTGGACAAGCTTTCAAGATTTTGTTTATACACCCTATACCAATAAAGTAGTATTCTTGGAATCTCTGTTTCTTGACCTGGCCTCTCTCAAAGTGTGTGTGTGTGTGTGTGTGTGTGTGTGTGTGTGTATTTATTTATTTATTTATTTAT